ACCATGTTGTTGTTATTTCTCTTTCGGAACAAAACCCCCTTTGGGTAGCTATATTCGAGGGAAATACAGACAACGTAATTCGTTTTCTTAAAGTAAATTATTATTGAGAATTTGTGACTAAGAATAAGCGAACAATATTGATCCGAACTACAATAATTTAAAACAACATATACATTACTGAAGACGAATATGAATAACAAACTGCTTTATATGATCCATCAGTATATGATCATTATATTATATCATTATATGATCCATCAGTACCCAAGAAAAGAAAAAAGAACAGATAGCATTAAATTATGAATTTTGTCAACACGTTTTTGACTATGGACCCAATATAATATCTCACAAGTTACACCTAGCTTAGAAAATTAGATTAGTCCTAAACTGACACATGAAGAGAACAATGTAAAACATATAAATGTAAACAAAATGAACAAAAAATAATCTAAATGTGTTACAACTAATGAACCTAACTAAGAAAATTCAAGGGAATATTGTTTCGAACATTCCTTCCAAAGCTACACAAAGACTATACGAGCCCTGATTTTGAATTTATAGACCAGAGGAAAGGTAGCTAGCCACTGCCTGTGCTGAGCATACTCTATTCGACTAACGAGATTTGATGGTCACTATTATAACGCACGTGCGACCCCAAAATGCGGAGCGCTATTTTGTGGAAACTAGATGCGAGCCATTGATCTTCTGATCCACGAATTTCCCCTAAAATGGAATATATTATCACAAAGCACATATGCCAGTCGTTTGCTCTTTAGATCTCCACTACTTACCCTTACACGGAACATAAACTTTTAAATTGTCATATATTTACAGTAGTGCATATCCAACATTACCAAAAAAGTGATTGTTAGAAAAACATTGATACAGAAATGCACGCTAAACGCTTATTCGGAGAATCATGACGATTTTCTATCAGTGATTCCTCAAACTGCATAACAAAAAATCAAATTAGGTTAAAGAATACATTAATACATTTACGAATAGTTGTAGATCCAACCATAAATAAAAAAAAATATGTGTATTGATCCTTCTGCTAACATAAAGGGTAATATTTAAAAATATAAGTTATATTCAAAAAGCAGACGTTGTTGAAGGAGTGATGACGTTGTAACGTCGAAAAATGTAGAGTCGTCAACTTTTTGAAGAACATAGTTAGGCCTAAATAAAATGTTTTTGATTGTGTACCAGTTTAACGTTGAATATTATTTATGATTTTAACTTTATATACAAGTGCCAAAATACTATAAATACGTACGTTTGTTGAAGCGAATGTGAATTGAAGCTGTAAGTTCCCACGGAAGAATGGTTTCTTAAGAGAGACACTTAAGAATGGTAAAACGTTCTTATCTACAGATTTTAAATTTCAATAGAAAGTTACGAAACAGATTAAATAACAATAGTGTGATATATATTAACAAAGTTCTATGATACATGTGTCATAAGATTCCATAACAAGAATGTTTATACCCATGTTTGTACCCATGTTTTTTATCATCAATTAAAAACAGTGTAACTGGATATAACTCTTAGGAATTCAATAGTGCATTATATAGTATGAATAAATATACTTCGTTATATATATATAATATGGCTAATCTTAACAACCGGTTATAATCACAATGATGATAGAGTAATAAAATCATATTTGAATAACCTTCTAACATTCAATTGATCATTCTGAAAACAGGTTTTATAAATACAAATATACATATATATACAAGGAAAATACTCTAGACGTGTTTGTCTTCGATTTCTTACTAGCTTGGAGGCCCTCTTTTGAACTTATAAGCCAATGAAGGGGTAGCTATAATGGATTTCATACAGGGAGGGATTATTACTGTAGACCGAGATAAGTAAAAATATTGAGGAGCGACAAATACTTCACGATAGATCTGTTTACGAATAGTATTTTTTACTTAATTTTCAAAGGTTATATCGAATTTTAAAAGAAACTTTCTTTTGCACAGAAACTTGGTTTACCTATCAAACTTTCGCAAGAACGAGTCTATTGACTAGTTTATTTCAATACATAATTATATGCACTAACGATAAGTTATATTATACCATTAGTCTGAGAAAGCTCGGTTCACACGTAAAGTATCCCAAAACATTATTTTATGTATTTGATCTAATAGAGGATAGAAATGGGCTTGAACTTATTATTGACTAGCAAAATATCCCGTGTATTAAAAGAAAACGATAAACGACCACAGCGTGAATTATAATGCTTACATTCCCAATATATATATTAGCTATAGTTTGGCCATCTAAAAATATCAGACAAATTGCTATTGCCATGCTTTAACAAAATATAGTTCCCAACTAAATGTTTGGTTTATTGAGTTAAAGACTATTATTTGATAACGTGTTTTTACGGATGCTGAAATTCATTAATTTTTCTTTGACTAGGAGTTTGCTGTGACTCTTTTGTTTTATGATTTCTGTGATATTTATAAAATCAAACTTTATACCTCATGTTTCTATGAATCTTAGTATCTACATTAGGCTGGTTTGAACACGATATTTTATGAGTTCCAAAGTGCATAAATATGTATTAGTGCATCACGAGTTTTTGTTACTCTTCGTGGTTATAGGAGTTACTCCTTGACGAAGTTTGTGTGTTTTGATAAATATATGAACTACATTACTTACAAAAAGTAAAGGTTTATTTAAACTCGTATATCTTTAAGCTATATATTTTTTTCAAATTTGGCGTATTTATTGTAGAGGATCATATTAATTCTACCTGTGTTTGCAAGTCTGTGCACCAATGATTCCTTATATGAAACTGAAGTAATGTGCAATTACAACTAAATGGTAAATTTGTTATTAGCACAACACATTTTATTAAAAAAGCAAAGAAGTTGTAAAATACACTAATTACTTAACCCTGCGGCTGCTATATATATATATATATATACGTGTCATTTAAATGTTTTTGTTGTTTTTCTCTTCCCTGCATCAACTCAGAGTCAGTGCTATTTAGTAGATCCACATGCTGCCGTACGTACCTCTGACATTTTGAAGGAAACAGACGTATAGACAACATTACCCCAAAAGTGTACGATCAAACAGAAAAAAAAAGGTTAGATCCCATATGTACACACACACACACACGTGCGCGCCAGCCTAAATGAATGGATCAAATATTGACCAACCTGTCTAATTAAATGCTGTTTGGCCTTCTCAATTTCCATAAGAACCTATACAACCTCCATAATATTCAAATCGGAACTATGTAAAGATGCATAAACTGATGGTTGTGATTGTACCACAGGTTTCTTTTTCGTTTTTTTAATATAATTTCGTCCCACTTTCTGCATTCTTTGGATCACCGTCTTTCTGGAAGATGAATCCCTGCTCAGCAGATGTTGTTCCCAAAGCAATGAATGGCATTATGAATAAGAGATTATTGTACCTATCAGCAGTTAAGGTGCCATCAGTTTCTGTCTAGATTTACCACCACCATTGGCTGAGACGCAGACCTCACTTGTATTTGTCTGCTAGCAAGCCTCATTATATGAATTTTCTAATAAATTATCAATACATGCTACAGAATATAATCCTGAACGTTTACCTACTGATAAGAAGTGCAGATGAAGTTTCTTTTTCTTTTATGACGTTTTATTATCCAGTCAAAGTTAAAAAGATTAACTATCCAAATAAAATTTAAAACACGATTCCAATGTCAGTTGAAAAAAGCTTAATTAATCTGAAATGAGATGAAACTTGCATCGAATTGAAAATTACGATTTGTAACGTTAATGTCAATCATATAAATTGTTAATATTTTGTGAATAACCATCATGAAAGTATAAAAATCGGTTCCGGTCAATGCTGTATTAACTCGGTTAGCTGCTGTTCAATCAGGCTACGAGTAAAAGGTAAACTGGCTTCTTCATTTTAACCCATTTTATTACCGAAATAATTTTAAGTTTTGCGATTTAATCAGCTAATTTGTATTTTCAATGCAATCAACCTTCACTAAAAGTTCTTTGATAAGAGATATGTTTTTACCCTTAGATGATAACATAGCAGCCTTGAGACTTACTGCATATTTATTCTAGAATAAAATACTCGCCCTTTCCGCTGGGTTGACGTTATAATGTGATGGTCGATCTCACTATTCGTTGGTGAAGAATATCCCAAGAGTTGGCGGTGGGTTGTATTGACTAGCTTCTTTCTTCTAGTTTATCGTTTTAAAATTCGGGAAGGGGACGCAGATAATTCTCGGGTGGATTTGCACGAAATTCAACAAAACAAATAAACATACCTTTATGACCACGTGTATCTAAACTGAAAGATATTTTTGAGGACTTATGTCTCTAAAATATCATTTATAGTTATGTTTTAAAACCTTATAACCAATAAGCGAATGCTTTTATATTTATAAACTTACGATTCTTAGCACAAAAGTACTTAAAGTAAAATAATGCAATTTTTTGTACCACAAACATACTTGATTTTGAGTTGTTTGCTTTAAGCATATTAGGCTGTATCGTATGCGAGATACTTATTATAATACCAGTCCACTAAATAATTATGAATTTTAGACAATTATAGAAGCTGAGAGAAATAAACTTTTATCTGTCAAAAAACGAAACTAGTGAAAAACTCATGTATATCCACCAAAAAAAGATGGATTTCACTCTTTAAATAATAATGCTCAAATATCTTAGCACTTTATATCTATTTACAGTAATATTATTTAGTGCAAATTATTATTAAAACATTCGTTTCTTAGCATGCTATACAATTTACATGTTTTTCTGTTGTCTTTTTTTAACTTTTGTTATAACATATTCACACACTTGGAGATTTTGTTAATGATTCAGATATTAACTGGATTACCATCATGTGTATGTATCAAAAAAATGTATATCTTAATAATTGACATTCCATCCAAATAATATTCATAGTTTACAAAGATTATACCTTTTTTATTATTATTACGCATAACACTTTGATATCAAGCCTGTATAATTATTTGATGCACAAGTATCTAAATATGTGAAAAACAGTACCTTCAACTGCTACTACTAATAATAACAGAGGCTTACCTACGAATTATCACATGTACTTTTAGGGAAGAATGAATACAAATATTTCAATACCAAACCAAGATAAATTTCTCAACAACATTTTTATTGTGAGTTAAACTGGATGTTTATCTATATTTCAGAACGTTTGGCTTGGTTCTCTCCGTTAGTTGTCTCAACAGTACAGCGATAAGTTGTTTTTAGCTGAACATTAATTCCTGTTTCAGGCTTCATTTCTTCCCCGTTTCGTTCAATAACACCGTTTTAGTCCACTCTGCTTATCAATTTAACGAAAAAAAACAGTGTTATACCAAATCAACATGTCCGTATTCTTTGGATAATATGTAAGTACTTCTGGTTATGACATTATCATAAAATACACCAGAGGAATAAAAAAGGTAACATATTGGACACAGCAACAAATAACGCTGAAGACTTTTTCCAAAATGAATAAACTGTTACATTTGTTCAGCAGAATGTGATTTTAAAATACTGTGGCACACTAAAATAATATTCTTGAGTCCCACACTTCAATATCCTATATGTGAGTATATCCGTTCAAACATGGACCCTGTCTTTCAGTATGCTGCCATCTTCAGAACAATAATTACTACAATCACAGTACGAGCACAAGGCACAAAAAAGTACCCTTTAGCTGACTATATTAAATACACACGTTTATTTTTTTCGAGTTACCAGAGCCAGGGCACATTTCAGATGTTTTCGTTTCATTATGTCCGTTTTGCGCGTTCTCTTTATCCTGTTTATTGTCCGTATAATCTCGAACAACATCCATTACTAAATCTGACGGGATTGGCTTATCGTCATGAAGAAGTGGAACTGATGAGTTTATCTTGAAAAACAAAAGATATAGATAGGTAATGATAATCACAAGACTTCAATTTTTCGAAGTAATATCATAATTTCTAAAATACAACACACTTACCGATATGCTAATAATAAATTCATTATGTTAAAAACAACAGTGCCCTATAACAACGATGATATGCTTATTGAAACAAATGAACTTTATGTACGATTTTTAGTTTTCACAGTTAATCTATATTTATATAGAATTTAAATACACAGTATAAACTCCATCATTGTAAGAGGCCTATATTTATATAGAATTTAAATACACA